TTTTTTTTTTTTTTTTTTCTACAATTTTTCGAGATTACCAGTTTATTTTCCTGTTTGAAGAAACAAACTTTTATTAATCTTTTTTTAGACGCTCTACAAGAACAATTCATATTAAAACAGTAAAAGTTTCCAAAGATATTAAACGAAAAGTAGCGAGAAATCGAGGGTAAGATCAATGTTTGAACAATTTTAGTGGTTAGAACGAATCTTCACAGGGACGTTATCGACCGAACCACTCGGTGGTTCGTGTCCATTCTAATGTTCAAATATCTTCCTAAATAATTTCCTAATTTAATTCAATCTAATCACTTTCAAACGTAGAATAAAATACTTGGAAATAATCTCGAAAATACGTAAAGTAACGACACTTTGATACATGATCTTCTTCATTTTCATTTCTCTATTAAAAACAATTATTTTGATTCGTGTTTCAAGCTTTGAAATGTTCCAAAATGGTGGAGGAGGAGTGCATCAGCTCCGAGCTACGAGGAATCCTCGAGGAATTCACGAGAATTCGAAACGTGTTGTCATTTTTCATTTCGCGTTTCACTGCGTACGTTGTTTCCTCTCTCACAAATGTTTTACTTTTAATTTCTCCGAAATTAACAGGCGTACGTTGCGTTGAAAGCTTACTGCGAGATACGGGAGGAAGCCGCGTCAATGGAAAAGGAACACGCCGACAAACTGAAAGAGAATTTGGAGAAACTCTCCGCCACTTATCTGCTTCTGGAGAAAAGATACAAGTCTACCGTTGAGAAATTCCAAACCGAAAAGGACGAACTTCGTAAAGTGAACGAAGAGTTGAAAGAACAGTGCGATCATTTACGTCTGGTCAATGTGGATCATGGTGGAAACGCTGATCAAAGTAAAGAATAAAATAACGATCTATTTCGATTGAATTGTTCAGAAAAGTAGCAAAAGAAAGATTTATATTTATTTGTTTGAAGAAGATCGTCTCGAAAAATTTATTTTATCTGTTTCGTTAGTAAAGTATTTTAAAGAATTCATTTTATTTTAAAATTTCAGAAAACTTGGTAGACGCTAATCTATTCGTTTTATTTATTTTAGACAATTCTTTTTATTCTTGTCAATTTCCCAATACAATTCAAGCACAAAAGTATCCATAATCTATAACATATGTACAGAATTATTCCCTACCCAGTTATCATTTGCACCGGTTGTTAATTAAACGCTCGTTAACTCCGCCAGTTGTCAATCACTCTCGTATAATAATAGTTACTAATTATCTGATATTCAATTGTCACTGTTATATTATCTATCAACAACAGTGTGCAAGTTGCAAGATGAAATGGAGGTTTTGAAAGCGCAATTACTGATGCAAGAGGAGAAACACATCGAGGATGTTGCGTTGCTGAAGAAGCAACACTCTGACGAACTGCAGAGATACAAAGTGTTGCTGCAGAACGCGAAACTGGCATCCACTTCTGTAATTATATATTTCCTATTGCCTAGAACGAATCCACGGGATTTTACGTAGGAAGGGAATTAATTTCTGTTTCAATCAGTGCGAG